TCTCTCTCCACCCCCCTCACCCCCTCATCTATCTCTCTTCTCTCTCTCTTTCTCTTCCACTTCATTTCCTACTCCGTCCCCTGGCCTTCCCTTGGTCTCAGCTAATTTTCTGCTATTTATCTTGACCCATTACTGCCCCTCACCTTGACCTCTGGGTCTATATCCTTGGCTCTATCTTTCTACTTTCTGACCTGCCAGCATCTGCTCTCAACATTAATGCCCCTTTTCTTCTGTCTACAGGATGTCGCTGCTGAACCTGTCTTGGTTGAGACTCTGGCCCAGCACAGCTTCTCTGTGGCTGCTTCTGCTGCTGACTGGGGTCTTCTGGCTCCTGGTCCAGGTCCTGGCCTGGATCTATGTTTTCTACAACAAGTGCTCCCGCCTCCAATGTTTCCCACAGCCCCCAGTGCGGAACTGGTTCTTGGGTCACCTGGGCCTGGTTAGTGGGGCAGCAGGATGGATTTGGGGGTGTCAGGATCAGGACAATCATGGTCAGGGGGCTGGGGACTAGGGAGTGGGTACATTTATCACAACAAGAGAAGAAAGAAGACTAAGGGGAGCCTCTCTTTCTATTCTCACCCCTAAATCCACTCTGCTCTATCCACACCCATGATTAAGGTATTTACCTTGTTTTTCTACTCCTTCCAGGCCTGCTTTGGGTCAATTTCCTAACTGTGTTTCCTCTAATAATCCACTTTAGGTTCCCTTCTGGGACTTCCAGAGTAGGCTGGGTAGAGCTGGAATGCCTGACTTTCTTACAGTCTCATCCTTAACAAAGGACCTTGTCAACTATATAATCTAGATTCCATTCACCCCTCTAGTCAACTTCTGTTGCCTTTCTGTTGGTGCCCACCACTCTAAAGGCTGTGGTCCTTTACCTTCTTTCCCTACCCCGAGGACACAGCAAGACTATAGAAAAGAGACAGTCTTTCCTCTCTTCCCCTTCCTGGAGTACCCTGCACTTGTTATCTTGCCCTCTAATCTCAAGATGTACTAATAGGTGTGTTGCCCAACCTGCGTAAAGGTTGGTTACTTCCCCTTTGAACAGCTTTCTTTGACCATTGCCTTGACCCTTCTCACACTTGCAAGTTAAACAGTTAATAAGCCAATCATTTCCTTATCATCCATTTCTGCCACTTGATCATGACTTTGTTATTGTTACATGTCTTTGCAGTTGACAAGTCATAGTGATCTTGTAAACAACAGAAGTGAACCTTGCCTATCCTGACAGGCCATCCTCACAATTGCCGCCATTCTCAAGCCTTCGTATCTTTTTCTGATCCTCTACTTTTTCAAGCATGATGTCCTTTTTCAAGGCTTGATGCCACCTCAGAACTTGCCCCAAGTATGTCCAGTGACGTTTTACTATCCTTTCCAGTAAGGAATCCTCTAGTTATGCTTCCTCCAAGACAGATCTGTTTGTTCGTTTGATACTCAAAGCCTCCCTTGTTGTTGAGTGAAACCCAACTCATAACTGATCTTCTAGCAGCTTTTTGTTTAGCTGTACATCACATGGGAGAACATGGTCCATCTTTTCTCCCCTGCAGCTGTGAATGGATTTGAACCACCAGAGAGGCCTTGCCTTCTGTCATTACCTATTGGTCCAGTTGTGTTGACTTTAGTTTTCTGGATGTTATGATGTAATCTATATTGAAGGTTATAGTCTTAGGTCTTCCTCACTCACTGTTCTGTCATCTGTATAATAAAGGTTGTTGACTTAAGTCTCCCTTCAATCCTTTTGCCACATTCTTCTTCACGTAACCCAGCTTCTGAAATTGTTTTCTCAACACACAAATTGAATAAGAGTGGGCAAAGGATACACCCTGGATACAGACACTTCCTCATCTGAAACCACACAGTGTTCCTTTGTTCTTTTGTAGCTGTAGGAGGCAGAACGCCTCCCAGCACCAAACCCAAGATCAGACAAACAGTTGTTCTGGTTGTTGTTTGGCACTGTTGAGTCAAGTACAACTCATAGTGACCCTATGAACAACAGACATGAACTCTGTCCTCTCCTGTGCCACCTTCATACCTCCTGACACATTAGAGATAATTGTAGCAGTCACCATGTCAATCCACCTGGTTGAGGGTCTTCTTTTCCTTCACCAACCCTCCACCCTTTCCAGTATCATGTCCCTCTCCAAGGAATAACCACTCCTAGCAACATGTCCAAAGTATGTGAATTGAAGCTCCATCATTTTTGCTTCCAAAGAGCACTCTGGCTACACCCTCTCCAAGACACATCTATTTGTTCTTTTGGCCATCTATGGGATGTTCAGTGCTCTTCTCCAAACCACAGCTCAAAGACATCAGTTCTTCTTCTGTCATCCATATTCATTTGTACAGCTCTCAGATGAACAGCAAATCATCGAAAAGACCATGCCTGAATCAGCTGCACTTCAGTCCTCAAACTGACATCATTACTCCTCAATACTTTGGAGAGGTCCCTAACTGCAGACTTTCCCAGTGCACTATATCTCCTTATTTCCTGACTACTGGTACCAAGGGTGTTAATTGCAAGATGAATTCATTGACAGTTTCAATCTCTTCTCCATCCATCATGATGTTGCCTATTGGTCCAATGCTAAGAATCCATGTTTTCTTGACATTGAGATGAAATCCATATCGAAGACTGCATTCCTTGCTCTTCTGCAACAAGTGCTTCAAGTCCTCCTCATTTTCAGCAAGCAAGGTTGTGTCATCTGTATAATGCAGATTATTGATGAGTCTCCTTCTGATTCTGATGTTCTGTATACTGAGCAATGGCAAACAGTTGTTGCTGTTGTGTACCATCAAGTTGGAACTGACCCATATTTGACCCGCCAGCAGGTTTTCAGAGGCAATTAATCTCATGGGAGGAGATTCCCCATTTTCCTCCCATGGCAACAGTAGGCACTCAATAAATGTTTGAGGAGCCAATCGTTGAGGACATAACCTCCATTAAACATCTGAGAACAAGAGATAGGCTCTTAAAAAAAGAGAGAGAGATAGGCTCTAGAATCTCCATTTCCTCTGGCCAGTTGAGGACAAGGACATCTCTTCAGTGTTTCTTTCTGCAGAAAGAAGGATAGCAACCTGGGGAAGAATTTTCTGTATTTCCATTGTTTATCAAAGCAAAGCTCATTCAGAAGGGGTTACCTTCACCATGAAAGTTCCTGAGAATTTTCTTTTTTTCCTTTTTTTGGTATACTTAGACTAGAGGAAGACCCTCAATGAGATGGATTGATTCAGTGACTGGAGTAATGGGGGTAGGTGTGTCAGAGATAATCAGATTGGCACAGGATAGAGCAGGGTTTAGGGCTGTTGTACATAGGGTCGCTATGAGTTGCAAGCAACTTGACAGCACACAACAACAACAATCCTTAGAATGCCCTAGAGGGAATATGAGGACTGTATTGGGTTACCTGTTGAGCTACTAAACTAAAGGTCACAGTTTTGTATTCACCAGCTGTTAAATGAGAGAAAAAGGAAGCGATCTGCTCTCAGTAAGATTTGCGGTCTTGAAACACTGATGGAGGGTGGTCATGAGATATAATTGACTGACAGCATTAGAATAGGAGTTGGAGGGCCCAGGAGGCTTGTTGTTAGGTGTCATCAAGTCCAGTACAACTCATAATGACCCTATGAACAACAGATATGAACCCTGTCCTGCCGTTTTCACAATTTCTGACACACTTGAGCCCATTGCTGCAGTCATTGAGTCAAACCACGTGGTTAAGGGTCTTCCCCTCTTTTGCTGTCCCTCCAGCTTCCCAAGCATGATGTCCAAGGGATATCCTGGAGGCTTAGGTGGTATTATATGACATCTGCAGTCCTGCTCTTCTGCTGATGACATCTTGATCTTAGATGCTGGTCTGATCTAGGTTATTCTTCTCCTCATCTAGTTCCTCCTGCTGTGTGACTTTGTCCTACTTACTCTCCCCTCTGTATGGAGTCTGTCATACACATTGAATCTTTGGTTTATATTCCTTGGGTAATATTTTCACAGGGGAAAGTGGTTTATGTTTTCTTGTTGAAACTTTCAGAGAGTTGAGTGCCGGGAATGTCCCAGAAGGTGGAGGAGTCTAGGAAGTCAAGCATGAACATCTTATTTATTTATTTTATAGCAAATATGCTTGATTTAAAATGTGGGCTTTGGTGAAAGTAGGCTGAGGCTCAGTTGGCATCAAGCATGAACATCTTGAGAAAATGTCTAGGCTTATATGGACTAAGTGTCCTGGACTCAAGAGGACTTTCTAGGGGTAGGTTTCATCTGGGGCTTTCCAAGACCCTAGGACCCTGTATTGAGTCTCAGGCTTAACTACTTGGCCATCTTTAAGGATCTAGAAGATAGTTAGCCAAGAATTTCCTTCTTTTTCTCATCTCTGTACTTGGATGCTCAGTCCCACCTACTCTTGTCACTGTAGGTGGCCTGCAAATTCCAGAGTCTTTAAACTTGATCTGGTGGAGGATCCGGAGGCCTCAGTGTGAACTGCCAACACTCAGAGAGTACATGAGAACAGATCCCCACACTATAGCCCCGATGGTGCAATGCTGCCCACATAGCTTCCCTCATGGAACGCCCATTGTCTTCTTTCCTGCATCCATTTTCAGGGAGACAAAATCCATCAAGCTCTGGAAACACAGAGCTTGCCTTGTCTGTCTGTCTTGTCTACAGTCCTAGAGTTGGAGGCTGCTTCCAGGATTCTCCTACTTCTAGGATACTCTTGTTTCCTTGGACCGAACAGAAAGTGGACAGTCCTTCCCGTAAGGTAGAATTCTGACAAATGTTCACAGCACAGGCTGTGACACCTATGGAAGCCAAGAGAGGGCAGATACCTATGACTCTTTCTGCAGAGGTGACCACTTCTGTGTATCTAAGATAATCACTGGAACTCGGCTTTCCCAGTCTTTATGGATATGCGATTCTCACAGTTGTTATGAAGACAAAGCAACTTAAGGGCTTAAAGAATCAGGTCCTCAGTTCATAGACCTAAGGTGGGGTTCTCGGATAGTTGTTTTGTCTCTAGGGTGGGGGGAGGCAGACATTATCTTTAAATGTCTTAGTTTCCTTTTCTGGGAAATGAGAGTAAAAAGAACACTGAGGTAAGTGTGGTGTCAGGTTCCCAGTGGGGAGAAGCCATTATAATTTTGTGGAAAGAGATCTTGACAGGCCATATGTCAGGCTGTGGAGTCAAACAAAGGGGTTCAGCACAGAACAGATGAGTGGCGGAATAGATGTCTCAGGGTTCCAATGTACCTCTGTCTTTAGCCCTTCTCTCTGGCAACCCCAGGAGTGTGAAATTGGTCCACCTTGTTCCTCCTCAGATCCGGAGCTCAGAAGAGGGTCTCCAGTATACGCAGAACCTGGCCAGCACCTTTGGCGATGCCTGCCTCTGGTGGGTAGGGCCTTGGCATGCGATCATCCGTATCTTCCACCCTACCTTCATCAAGCCTATTCTTTTGGCCCCAGGTAGACACACAAAGATGACTGGCTCTGAGCCTTTGTGCTACCTTAGCTAGGCAAGGGACCAAGGGAGAAGAGAGGAGAGCTGTTGGGAGGGTTATTGCTCCTGGCACACCTGGATCCATTTGTTTGACCTTGGTCATGTCTGTCCATGTTTAGGAAGTGGGTATATGATGCTTGCTGAGGTGCTGAGTGTATATTTGCAACTAGGACCAGTTGGAGATGGTCTTCACCAAACTTGAGCTCAACTCTGACCCAGGGCATCAGAGCCTGTTGGGGTCTGTCTGAGATGCCATTTGATGTTGTCCAGATATTCTGTCAGTCATGTGGGGCTTTTTAAAACTTGTCTGATGTCCGCGTTCATTGGGTCTGGGATCCAGGGTCTTTCTGAGAATTATCTAGGTAGTTATTTTAATCTTGTATGAGTCAGGTCCAAGGGTAGGTTGGTCACATCTGGGCCATGTCTGGGTCACACTTGGGCCACATTTTGGACGTTAATGGGATCATACTGAAATTCTTTCTAGAACTTGTGCGTAGGGTATTATGGGGTCTTGTCAGACATCTTTGGTCCAAATCAGAGTATGTTGTGTCTAGTCATAGACATGTTAAGATGTGTCTTGTATGTAGTGGTCTTTTGGGACATGCTAGCATGTTTTTTGTTATTTTAAAACTTATGTTTAGGAGGAACATTCTTCTAAGTAGTATAGCACTGATCTGTCAATTTACTGTACAGAGAGAGGTAACTTGAGGTTGCTGTGATGGTAAACACTGTGACACTGATGTGTCAAATGCCATAATGGTTATCCATGGTGAACAGTGTTTGGTGGAGCTCCCAGATTAAAACAGGCTGGGAAGCAGGAGTGGCCTTCACTTCCAAAGCAGCATGCCTCTTGAAACTCAATGAACTTTGAGAAACTATGATAGCTATACAACAGGGCTCAGGTCTTTTGTTCATAGGGTTGCTATGACTCGTCCTCAACTTGACGGTGCTTAACAACAACAGCAATAACAACAACAACAACAAAAATAGCATGTATTCATGTCATGCCAGCAGTGTTTAAGCTCTATGTTATCACTTTTATGTCATGCTATAGACATGTGAAGACCCGTCATGTATGTTCTTATCATGTTGGAATGTGTTAGTCTTGTGTTAGCTGTCTCAGGTTCATGTTAGGACATGTCAGAGTAGGACAGAATGTATCAAATGACCCTTTCTCAGTCCATGTGACATGCTTCATGGAGTCTTGTGCTCTGCTTGTTGTTTCAGAAATATTGGATTTGGGGGAGATATGTGCAGCCATGTTGGGATGTGGCATGCCGTGTTGGATGTGTCTAAAGAGAGGAGGTGTCTAGGACTCCGCTTTTGCTCTCCATTTGCTACTGTAGTCTCTTCTGGTCCCCCCTTGCCTTCTCCATGCACCCTCCGCTCTTTACCCCTGCTCTGCTTGGCTAGGGTGGGGTGAAGATTCCTGGTTGGGAGTCCATATCCCCATCTAGAGTTCCTACCTTATCCTTTTCCATGGTTTCTGATGACATTCAATCACACCAGCTGCCATTGCACCCAAGGATGTGGTCTTCTATAGTTTCCTGAAGCCTTGGCTGGGTGAGTAATAGCAGGCTAAGAGGGCTGGGGTCAATGTTGGGGTCCAGTTGAGGGTTCTACCTCTGCTAACTGCCCATGACTGAATCTGTTAGGAGATGGGCTTCTGCTGAGTGAAGGTGACAAATGGAACCGCCACCGCCGCATGCTGACACCAGCCTTCCACTTCAACATCCTGAAGGCCTACATGAAGATTTTCAATGAGAGTGCCAACATCCTGCATGTGAGTCCCCGATGGAGCCTTGTGGGGTAGGACACCAGATACGTCTAGTTGGAGTATTGGCTCTGTTGAGCAGCTTTGGGATCATTGTTCTTCCCCTCTAAACCTCAGGTAATTCATCCTTAAATTGAGAATAATGATGACTAACTTGAAGAGTGTTCAAGGTGATGGAATGGCATTGTTGTTGTTGCTGTTGTTGTTATGTGCCATCGAGTCGCTTGCGACTCATAGCGACCCTATGTACAACAGCCCTAAACCCTGCTCTATCCTGTGCCAATCTCATTGCCTCTGACACACCCATCCCGATTACCCCAGTCACTGAATCAATCCACCTCATAGAGGGTCTTCCCCTCCTGCGCTGTCCCTCTACTCTACCCAGCATGATGTCCCTCTCTAAAGACCTGTCTCTCCTTACAACATGTCCAAAGTATGTCAGGCGAAGCCCCAGAATCCTTGCCTCCAAGGAGCAGCCTGGTTTAATCCTCTCTACAAATGAATCTGTTTTCTTGGCAGTCCGTGGTACACTCAATACTATTCTCCAGCACCACAGCTCAAAGGCGTCAATTCTCTTTCTATCCTCCCTAGTCATTGTCCAACTCTCTGATGCATAACAAGTGATTGCAAAAACCATGGCCTGTATCAGGCGGACCTTAGTCTCCAGAGAGACACCGTTGCTCTGATGGAATGGCATTAAGCTCCTTGAATGTATGCAGGAGTTATTATTAGTCCTTATGTTCTCAGAAGCATTGGAATTTTGAGACAGTGTTGATGGTATTGATGAAAACTGTACAGCAGATATTGTTGGGTAACAAACCACTTTGAAGCTCATTGGCTTAAAACAATGAATATTTGTTATTGCTCACGTGTCTACTAGCCAGCGAGGCATTGTTTTTGCTTTGACTTGTCTCCCTTGTACATTAGCACTCAGGTATGGATCATGTAGGCAGCTCTGCTGATCCACTTTGAAGATTTTCACATGTTAGGGACGCGGCTGCCTGCAAAAATGATCTCTGACGGACAGCAGAGACAACTAGTCTTCTCTGTGTAGCTTCTTACCCTGTAGCTGTCAGCTCAAGCTTGTTTACATGGTCAAAGTATGTTTTCAAGAGAGAACATACTCGTTAAAATGCTTTTCTGAGATTCAGGTTTAGAATGATTATGTCATCATTTTTACCAGGTTCTGATGGCGACTGCATGTCTCAATAACATCTTTGAACCAAAAGGGTGAAGGAATAGGCTTCGTTTCCTACTGGAAGTTGCTGCAAAGTCATATTGAAAAGGAGATGACTATAAAAAGACGCATGAATAGGCGATATGTGCTTAGTATTTGCAGTTGATAAGTTAACTGATTACTATTTGGAGAAATCTATCAGAGACAAAGGAACATGAAACAGCAGGCAGTATGGTTTGCATCTACTCAAATTCCATGGGAGTGACACAGGTGAGCATAGATGGATGGAGTATGTTTCAATGATGAGGAAGAACACTGAAGTTATTATTGTTGTTGGGTGCTGTTGAGTCAAGTAGGTCTCACAGAGACCTTATGAACAATAGACCCGAATCCTATCCTACCCTGTGCCATACTCATTATTTCAAACATACTCGAGCTCATTGTTGCAATCACTGTGTTAATCCAACTAGTTGAGGGTCTTCCTTTCTTTCACTGACCCTCTACCTTTCCAAACAGAATGTCTTTCTCCAATGAAGAGTTAGGGAATTTGCAAATGTTACAGTAAGCATAATGATGTCAGGTAGAACCCTAAGGCACATCTGATTCAGTCAGGCCATAGTTTTTCTGATCACTTGCTAAACATATAAGAGCTGGACAATGAATAAGGATAAAAGAAAAAAAAATAGATGTCTTTGAGCTGCGGTGTTGGAGAAGAGCACTGAACATCCTATGGATGGCCAAGAGAATGAACAGATATGTCTCGGAGAAGGTGCAGCCAGAGTGCTCTTTGGAGGCAAGAATGATGAGGTTTCATCTTACATACTTTGGGGATGTTGCTAGGAGGGGCTAGTTTTTGGAGAAGGACATGATGCTGGAAAGGGTGGACAGTTGGTGAAAGAAAGAAAGAAAGACCCTCAACCAGGTGGATTGACATGGTGACTGCTGCAATGGGCTCTGGTGTGGCAGGAAATATGAGGATGGCGTAGGATAGAACAAGGTTCAGATCTTTTGTTCATAGAGTTGCTATGAGCCACACTCGATGCGCTGACACCTAACAACAATGATGACAGCAACAACAACAGCAACAGTAACAATAATAACAACAGTAATCATAACCTAGCCACATTTCTGTTGAAAGGAAGACCTCTTCTTACCTTTCTGGCTACTTGATATAAACACAAGTCTTAAACTTGTGTTTCAGGAAAAATATAAGGGCCTTGCATTCTTGTTTGTTTTTAAAAGAATTTTTATTTTATATTGGTAGTCAGAACAGAGCAGGGTAACACTGCATGGTTCAGAATTGGGAAGGGTGTACGCCAGGGATGCATCCTGTCTCCATACCTTTTCAACACGTATACAGAGCAGATTATCTGAGAGGTTGGGCTCTACGAGGAGAATTGTGGCATCAGGATTGGTGGAAGATCTATTAACAATCTGCGTTATGCAGATGACACAACCCTGCTTGCTGAAACTGAGGAGGACCTCATGCACTTGCTGTGAAGGGTCAAGGACTGCAGCCTTCAGTATGGACTGAGGCTCAATGTCAAGAAGACAAAGATTCTCGCCACTGGACCAATTAGCAGTGTCAGGATGGATGACGAAGAGATTGAGAGTGTTCACAGCTTCAGTTTGCTCGGCTCCACAGTCAACACTCTTGGTACCAGCAGTCAGGAAATAAAAAAGCGTATCGCGATGGGAAAGTCTGCTGTTAGGGACCTCTCAAAGGTACTCAGGAGCAACAGTGTCTCTCTGGCCACTAAGGTGCGCCTGATACAGGTCATGGTATTTGCAATCGCTTGTTACGCATCAGAGAGTTGGACAATGACTAGGGAGGACAGAAGGAGAGTGGATGCTTTTGAGCTGTGGTGCTGGAGAAGAGTACTGAATGTACCATGGACTGCCAGGAAAACAAACAGATTCATCTTGGAGAGGATTAAACCAAGCTACTCCTTGGAGGCAAGGATTCTGGGGCTTCGTCTGACATACTTTGGACATGATGCCAGGAGGGACGGGTCATTGGAGAGGGACATCATGCTTGGGAGGGTGGAGGGACAGCGCAGGAGGGGAAGACCCTCTATGAGATGGATTGATTCGGTGACTGGGGTAATCGGGATGGGTGTGTCAGAGGCGGTGCGTTTGGCGCAGGATAGAGCAGGGTTTAGGGCTGTTGTGCATAGGGTCGCTATGAGTCGGAAACGACTCGACGGCACATAACAACAACAACAACAACAACAATTGGTTTGCTTACAAAGTTTGTATACATTGTGTCTCAGACTATCCTTCATTCACAATAGGTTTCATATATAGTTCATACATCATTCCAATTCATTATATTTTATAAAATTTCTGTAAACTGAACTATGCCTACGATTGCCCTGTCTTTCCAGATCCCTGTTAAGTCCTTTCCCATTTCCTTTACTCACCCCTACCTCCATTCATCAAATTGTGTCACCTTATGATTTCTCCCCTGCCCCTCCTCACCTCTCTGCTCCCACTCCCTCCCTTGGATCTTCATATATGTTTTACTAGTTATGTTTCTATTTCTACACTTATGGACTTCTACAGTATTTTCCCTTATAGGCTGAGTTAGTTCACTCAGCATAATTCTCTCTAGTCCCTTCCAAGTTATGTAGTAATTTTCAAAATCATTGCTCCTGAGCACTGCATCATATTCCATTGTGCGAATGCATCACAGTTTCTCAATATGATTGTGGTTGGACATTTGGGCCGTTTACATGTTTTTACAATAGACCTTGCATTCTTGAAGAATGCAAACCCAGGAAGAATGTGGAGGCATTCTAAAGGAATGCATTTGCGGATATAGAAGACATTTTAAAAACAATTGTAGTACAAGGATATTGGTGATGAAGATTATATAAAATAGTAGCCAGATACTGTATGGTATGACATACACTAAAGAGTTCACCTCTCAAATTTCTATAAGACAGAGTGAGGTGCTTTTCCCCTCTCATTATAGATGATGATTGATGCAGTGGCTACAACAATGATAGGGAGGATGGTCCAGGATTTGATAGTATCTATTGTATGTTGGGTTGTTTGAGTCAGAATGGACTTGGAATACCTAACAATTAACGACAACACATATCTTGTCTATGTCCCTAAGCTAGTAAATGAGTTAGTGACTGGTAGATCTGGGATTCTGATCTACAGCATGGAGGAAGGTCACCTTAGCTTTTAGTGAACATTTACTAGTTGGAAGATGAAGGGGGAGGGTAGTGGCACAATCAAAGGCACACAGAACATAAGAGGTAGAGCTGAGATTTGAACTCAAGTCTCCTGACTCTAAACAATGGAATCTTCACATCTTCATTGTGATAACTTCTACTTCCATACCAACCTGGTCCACTCTGGGGATGAGTGCCTTGGATGAAGTGCAAGGAGCTTATTCCTTGGTGGAGTTTGTCTTGGTGATTGGAGCTGGAGAAAGGGCTTCAGGCAAGGCAGTACCCTTGTCCAACTGTGTCCTCTTTTCTGACCAGGCCAAGTGGCAGAACTTAGCATCTGAAGGCAGTGCCCGTCTGGACATGTTTGAGCACATCAGCCTGATGACCCTGGACAGTCTGCAGAAATGTGTCTTCAGCTTCGACAGTCACTGCCAGGAGTGAGTCCTCTATCTGAATCTAGGAATTTGGATCACTAGCAAAGGGATAGTTAAGATGGTTAGGGAAGGGATGGTAAAGATGGTTAGGGAAGACCACTAAAGCCTTTCTTCAGGTGTGTCAAATAATTAATTGTATTTAATAAAATGCAATAAATGGAAGAAGAAAGAGCCTTCCAGGAAGGCTGAACTACTTAAGTAAAGGCAAAAAAAGCTAAGATGAGCATATATGTAAGATACAGTGAACTAATTATCTTGGAAATTAGGTAGGAGTGGTAGGCAAGCCCTAGAATTTAAGGATAGGGAAAAGCTAGGCAAACAGTCACAGATTTATCTTGGGATCTTCCTGGAGTCGCTGAAGGTATTTCAACAGATGATGGATATGTTCTGAGTTGAGCTTTAGAAATCTATGCTTCTGAGACCTTAATGCAGGATAGATACTGCATAGTACTGACAGTGAGCTGAGTGAGACAGGCAAGAAGCTGGTCCATGAATCAGTTGGACAGAGGATGAAGTATGAGCTGTGTGGGCAGTTTGGGTAAGGGAAGGGTCATTGAGTGTGAAGGACATGATTCTCACACTCCCCCTAGTTCCTGGGGTCTGGCATCTGCATCTAGGAATGGGAATATGAAGAAGTAATTAAGTGCGGAGAATCATTTCTTCTGGCCCATCCTCACCATGCATACTTGGGACTTCTTTCTCCTGAATGCTCGGTTTCCTAATGGAAGATAGTACTGGATTCTGGATAGCTGCTACACCATGGGCTTTGTTGTTATGTATCAGTTGAGTCAGAACTAACCCATAACTGATTCTCTGGTGGATTTTCAGGGGCAGTAAATTACAAGAGGAGACTCCTTGTCTTTCTTCTGAGGAGCAGCTGGTGGATTCGAACTATGTACCTTTGTATTGACAGTGCAATTCCTTACCACGAAGCCACTTCTCTATCAATTACAGACTTTAGCTATATGAAATTTCTATATTTCTTCTTGCCTCATCCTTCAGAAAACCCAGTGAATATATTGCTACCATCTTGGAGCTCAGCACACTTGTAGCAAAGCGGCACCAGCAGATCCTCATGCACTGGGATTTCTTGTATCATCTCACTCCTGATGGGAAGCGCTTCAGGAAGGCCTGCCGCCTGGTGCATGACTTCACAGATGCTGTCATCCAGGAGCGGCGCCGCACTCTCTCAGAACAGGGCGTTGATGACTTCCTCAAGGCCAAAGCCAAGACCAAGACTTTGGACTTCATTGACGTGCTCCTGCTGAGCAAGGTGAGTGCCTGCCTGTAGGTTTTGGCATTGTTTTAGCTGCTAAATGCTGTTGTGTCCACTACAACACCTGATGCACAATAGGTAGGAACCCTGAGCTGTCCTGCACTATTTTCACAGTCTTCACGCGATGCTCAATCCCATTGTGCTGGTCATTGTTATCAATCCATCTTATTCAGGATCTATCTATCTTTGTCTCTTCCCACCTTACTCAGTGCGGTGACTTTTTTCCAGGAATGGGAGCCTTCTTCCTGACAGTGTGTCCAAGGTATTCAAGATGAAGTTTTACCATCTTTGTCTTTATGGTATAAGCCTGATTGCACTTCAGCCAAGATAGCTTTACTTTCACCAATACCACGATTCAAAGTTGTCAGTTCTTCCTCAGTCAACTTTATTCATTGTCTAACTTTTGAAAGCGTAGGAAGCAATTGAAAATACTGTGGCTTGACTCAGATGTACTTAAGTCTTTAAATGGATATCCTTGCTCTTTAGCATTTTGGAGACATTCTTGAGGTCTGATTTTCTCAATGCAATATGAGGTTTGACTTCACGACTGCTGCTATGTTGGACGTTGACTGTGCATTCGAGGAATATAAGATCATTAATGACTTCAATATTTTCTCCATTATCATGATTTTGCCTATTTGTCTTGCTTTGTTTTAATTGCAATTTTAGTGAATGTTTACAGGAAGGTTGGATTTTCACTTATTCATTTATGCACCATTTCTTCCCTTCTTTTCCTACTCCCCTCTCCAAATTCACTTTGAAATACACTTTTTGTTTCAGATTGTTAATTATCATACATATATAAAATGCCTAATCATACAGTCCTATCAGACAGTCCTGTCCCTCATCTGCTCCAGTGCCCTGTTCATTATGCGGCCATTCTTTCCATGCTCTCCTCTACCCCATGTCAATCTTTTAAAAAAATTATTTATTAGTTTTAATGAAAGTTTACGGAGGCTTAAGATTTCCAGTCATTCATTGTTGCACTTTTCTCCCTTCTTCCCCACCCCTCCAATCACTCTACTCCTTGAAAAGAAAAAGAAAAACTCTTTCATTGTTATGCAATCCCTCCCCTTACTCTGGACTTCCGTAATGACAGGAGTATGCATTCATATTCAATGCAATGTATATCATTCCTACCCTCCTTTTCTGTCTTCCTTCAACCCTAATGTCAGTCCCGTTTCACAACAGTGGCTTTATGCAATATTTGTCCTTTTGTGACTGAGATATTTCACTCAGCATAATGTCCTCCAGGGTCATCCATTTTGCATAATATTTCATGAGTTCGTTGTTTTTCAGTGTTGCATAGTATTCCATTGTGTGACTATACCAGAGTTCTCTATCCATTCATTTGTTGATGGGCGTCAGTCTTATTTTATAACATCAGTGTAATGCAATATTTGTCCTTTTGTTACTGACATATTTTGTTCAGCATGTCTTCCCGACTCACCCATATTGGGCAGTGTTTCACAAATTCATTTTTTTAAATACATCATAATATTCTATTCCATTAATTTGCTGATGGGAACTTGGGCTGTTTCTACCTCTTCACTATTGTGAATAATGCAGCAATAAACATGGGTATGCATACATCTGTCTGTATCACACCTCTTGTTTCTTTCGAATATATTCCCAGTAGTGGGATAGCTGGGTCAAACGGTATTTCTATTTCCAACTTTTTGAGAAAATTCCAGACCACCTTCTATAGTGGTTTTACCATTTTTCACTCCCACCAGCAGTGAATAAGTGTTCCAGTCTCTCCACATCCTTGACAGCATTTGTTGTTTGCTGCCCTGTTGAACGTTGCTATTGTTGCTTGAATGAGATGATATGCACATAAAAAAAAAACCCTTCTCCAAAAGGGTAAAAAAATAAATTCACAAACTAGGAAAAATATTTGGTCATAAATGAATACCTGATAAGGGACTCATGTACAAATTTGTAGGATACTCCAGCACCTCAACAAGAAAAATTCTAACAACCTAAACACAAAACGGGCACAAAATATGAGTAGAGACTTCACCAAAGAAGAAGTTCAAATGGCAACAAACATATGAAGAAATCTTCAAATTTTCTAGCCATCAGAAGGATGAAAATCAAAAGAATGAGATTCTATCTAACCCCAGCAATAATAACTTTCTGTTTTCTTAAGGATGATATGTAACCCATATTTAAGGCTGTAGTCTTTGATCTGCAATAACTGCTTCAAGTCTTCTTTACTTCCTGCAAACAAGGTTGTGTCATCTGCATAACAGAGATAGTTGATGAGTCTTCCTCCAATTTTGATGTCACATTCTTCTTCATTATAGTCCAGCTTTGGGAATTATTTGCTGAGCATACAGACTGAATAGGTGTGGAGAAAGGATACAATCTTGACTCACACCTTTCTCAATTTTAAACCACGCAGTATTGCCATGAAATATTCTGTTAGAACAACTGCTTCTTGCTCTAGGTATAGATTTTGGATGTGCACAGTTAAGTGTTCTGGAATTCTCATTCTGTCTATGTTATCCATAATTTGTTATAATCCACACAATCAAATGTTTTTGCATAGTCAATAAAGCACCAGTAAATATCTTTCTGGGATTCTCTGCTTTTAGTCAAGATCCATCTGATACCAGCAATGATATACGGTACAGTACTGTCAGCAATATTCCACAGTACATCACAGAGAATTTCTAGAAATTCAAGCTGTATCCAGAAGAGACCTTAGTACTCTACTTAAAAGCTAATAAATTTTATAACCATAATGTGTTTGTTTGATATATTGTTGTTGATAGGTGCCGTCTAGTTGACTATGACTGATACCGACCCTATGAACAATGTCTCTGAACCTTGCCCTATTCTGAGCTAATCTCACTATCTTCAACAAACTTGATCCCAATACCACGGTTACTGTGTTATTCCATCTCATCCAAGGTCTTCCTCTCCTGCATTAACCCTCCACACTTCCAAGTGTGATGTCCTTCTCCAAGGACTGGCCCTTCCTGACAACATGCCCAGAGTGTGTGAGATGGACTTTCAAAGTCCTTGCATCTAAGGAGTAACCTGGTTTCACCCTCTCCTGGACAGACCTGTTTGTTTTCTTGACAGTCGATGGTGTGTGTGTGTGTGTGTATACATATATATTTGTTATATGGAGAAGGATGGGCAATCTCCTCCTATGTGATTTACTGCCTGACAACCTGCCATAGGGTCCGTTATGGGTTGTTTCTGACTTGACGGCAGACACCACGACCATCACTAACACTGTTACATACTCTTACTCGTATATATTACATAATTAAACGTTACCCATCCCTATTCCATCTTCACAATTGTTCATGAGCTCAAATCTATTGTTGTGGCCACTCTAGGGGTGCATCTTCTAGTATTATTGGATAATGTTCTATTATGATCCATGGGGTTTTCACTAATTGACTTCCAGAAAGTAACCATCAGGTCTTTCCTCCTTGTCTCTCTTAGTCTGGAAGCTCTGCTGAAATATGTCCATTATGAGTAACCCTGCTGGCATTTAGAATGCTGTTGCCATTGTTTTCAGTGTTACAGCAACATGGCAAGCTGGCAGATGAGTGTGGTGTGAGATGCTGTTGAGTTCATTCTTATTCATAGCGAACCTGCGTGAAAAAAGAACAAGACGCTGCCTGGTTCTGCACTGGCCTTGTGACTGCAGCTGTGCTCCAGCCCATTGCTGCAGCTACTGTGTTGGTCTATGTAGTTGAGTGTCCTCCTCTTTTTTTTTTTCTTTCTTTGATTCTTTATCAAGAATGATGTCCTGTTTCAGAGACTGGATCCTCCTGATAACATGTGAATAGTTTGTGTGATGAAGTCTCTCCATCTTCCCTTCTAAAGAGCATTTTGGCTGCACTTTTTTCAAGACATATTTATTGTTTTCATAGTCGATAATATATTCAGTATTCTTCTCAACACCACAATTGCAATGCATAAATGCTTCATTTTTTAAATTTAATGTCAAGCTTACATATACTTAAAAGGTGAGTGAAAATATTATGGTCAGAGGCTCTTTAGTCCTCAAGGTCACATCGTTGCTTTATGTCACTTTAAAATGATTCTGTGCAGCTGAACTTCCCCAATTCAATATGCCATTTGATTTCTTTACAGCTATTTTTTCTGAATCATCAGTAATTGTCAAGGCATCTTGATTGTGTACTTGATTAATTTTAGACTGTAAAAGTTGGTGTATGCCAGGGATGTATCCTATCGCCATACCTTTTCAACCTGTATGCAGAGCAGATTATCCAAGAGGCTGGGCTCTATGAGGAGAAGAGTGGCGTTAGGATTGGTGGACGATCTATCAACAATCTGCCTTATGCAGATGATACAACTTTGCTCGCTGAAACTGAGGAGGACCTCATGCACTTACTGCAGAGGGTCAAAGACTGCAGCCTTCAGTATGCACTGAGGCTCAATGTCAAGAAGACAAGATTTCTCACCACCGGACCAATTAGTAGCATCAGGATGGATGGCGAAGAGATTGAGATTGTTCACAACTTCAGTTTGCTCAGCTCCACTGTCAACACTCTTGGCGCCAGTAGCCAGGAAATCAAAAAACGTATTGCAATGGGAAAGTCTGCTATTAGGGACCTCTCTAAAGTACTCAAGTGCAACGGTGTCTCTCTGGAGACTAAGGTGCGCCTGATACTGGCCATGGTTGCAATCACTTGTTATGCATCAGAGAGTTGGACAATGACTAGGGAGGATAGAAGGAGAATTGGTGCCTTTGAGCTGTGGTGCTGGAGAAGAGTATTGAATGTACCATGGACTGCCAGGAAAACAAACAGATTCATTGTAGAGAGGGTTAAACCAGGTTGCTCCTTGGAGGCAAGGATTCTGGGGCTTTGCCTGACATACTTTGGACATGTTGTAAGGAGAAACAGGTCTTTGGAGAGGGACATCATGCTGGGTAGAGCAGAGGGACAGTGCAGAAGGGGAAGACCCTCTATGAGGTGGATTGATTCAGTGATTGGGGTAATCGGGATGGGTGTGTCAGAGGCAATGAGATTGGCACAGGATAGAGCAGGGTTTAGGGCTGTTCTACATAGGGTCGCTATGAGTCGCAAGCAACTCGACGGCACATGACAACAACAACAACAACAGCAGCAACAACAACAGAAGTTGGTAGAAATTTCCAATTTCTTTATATTTGATTTTAATGACTGATGCGTACCTGTGAACAATGGTTGCATTACCAGGTCTTCTTTGTTTCTGTAGGGATATTTTTTTCCTCCTAGGACTCGGTAACAGAATTTCTAAGTCCTACCATTAATTTATTCAATTTTTCTGTGATTAGAGATACATTTCTAACCCCCCCCCCAAAACTTGTGGCTGTAGGGAAATTATACTATTGCTGACCACATTGTGCTTCAGAATGGATCTTGAAATGCTCTTTTTAATGATAAATCTAGTGTCTAAAAATGACAAATCCAGGACTTTTTCTGGGGAGGAGTCTTTTTATGACCTGCTCATTTTCTTCTTTTGTAATGGATCTGTTGAAGTGTTCTATATCTGTCTGTGTCAGTCTGGGTAGGGCATGAGTTTCAAGGAATTTGTCAATTTTCACTAGGTTTTCAAATTTATCAGAGTATAGCTTTTCATAATATATTGATACTATAGATTTAATTTCCTCTAGTTCTGTTGTGATATCCCTTGTATCATTCCTATGCCTGTATCAATCAAATTATTTGTGTCTTCTCCTTTCTAAAACATAATTAATTGGAATGATTGTATGAAACACAATATAAATGAAGAGTAGTGTGAAAAATAATTTATACAAACTCTACAAGAAAACCAATATAAAACAAACCAATATAAAATAAAAACAACAAGAAATCTAGTGCTTCAAATGATCATTGCTGAAGCACTTCTGAAAAGCGAAAATGAAGTGGGAGTCATACCACTCTCTGATCTCAAAACCTACTTCACAGCAGTAGTATCCAAAATGGCATGGTACTGGTACAATGACAGACACAAAGACCAATGGAATCGAATGGAGAACCCAGAACAGACTCAGCTATTTATAGTTAACTGATACTCAAACAGGCAATAAAACCTATAAAATGGGAAAATGACAACCTCTTCAACAAATGTTGCTGGCAAAAACAGAACTGCTACCTGCAGAAAGTTGAAACAGGATCCACATCTCACATCATACACAAAAAAATCAACTAAAGGTGCATCAGAGACCTGGAAGTAAAGCCCAAATCCATAAAGTTCATCAGAGACAAACTGGGATCAAGCTCAGATGGCCTACCCTATGGTATAAAGAGACTGTCAAATATAGCCAGAAATGCTCAATCTGGAGAGGATAAACTTGATGAATGGGACCTTCTAAAGATTAAATCCCTGTGAGCATACAAAACATTTTCCAACAGAGTCAAAAGAAAACCTACTGACTGTGGGAAACCCTGCCCCCCAAACATTTGGCAATACCATTTCAGACAAAGGTCTTCTATAAAAAGTTTACAGAATCGTAAAGGGTGTCCAAAAGAAAAAGACTAGTAACACAACTAAAAAATAGCCAAAAGATATGGGAAGAGTTTTCACAGAGGAAGATATTGGGTTGGCCAACAAACACATGAAGAAATGCTCCAAATCACTGGCAATTAGACATGCAAATCACACCCGCAATGAGATACCATCTCATCCCAGTAGCAGTGGTAAAGTTTTAACAGGACAGCAAGTAATAGATGTTGGAGAGGATGTGGTGAGATAGGAATTCTTACACATTGTTGGTGGGATTGTAAAAGGTAAACACTTTGGAAAGA